CATACACTATGGTGGGGAACTGGCCCTTCAAAATGGCCATGAAATGGCGACACTTGCCTAAACCCTGGAGGGCACCATGAACAGGGATCTTCTGGGCACCACCCCAAGAATTCAAGACTTCTAAATAGGGAATCTTGATCCTGCCTAGGGGGAATAACCTTACTTGTAAGATGAGGAAAGAAGTCTAGCCGGCAGACATTAGGACCCAGGAGGCAGGAGACAGATGTGGCTGTCTCACGCTCAGTAACCCGTGCAGGGAGAGATTCTTGTGGGACCATAGTCTCAACCAGGATATCTAGGAGACTAAGACGTCCACTGAGCACTCCTGGGTGTACTTTGGGACCACCACGGAAAGCGAAAGAATTGGAACTGGTTCCAGGCCAACCAACGCTCCCAACCCCAAAGGGTTGGGGGTTGTTAGAGAGCCCTTTTCCAGACAGCCTGACACCCATGTCTTTAGTGTGGTGGCTGTGCTAGTTGCCTTTAAGTGGCTGACAGGTGCCCGGTTTAGCCTCTGAATTCTAAGGAAGGACAGGACGGAAAAGCAAGTGAAAGAGGTCTAATTGTACTCACCACGTGACGATGTAGATGCCTTTCCTGGAGACTCCTGGCTGCCTCGCAAAATGTAACACCTAAGGTTCTTGCCTAGCCACGCCAAAGAATTGGTGTGGCAGCTGACTGCGCTGAGTCATGAACCAATAAAGAGAAAAAGCTGTAGGCTTTATTGAGCAGAGTGAAAGTACGAAGATTCCACAGCATGGAAGGGGTCCGGAACGGGTAGCCCTTCTGTCTTCTTTATAGTTGAAGAAGCTTTGCTGGATTCTTGGATGGCAGGGTTTTGTTTTGTTTTTTTCCTTTCAGCACTTTGAAAAGGTCCTGTTCCTTCCTGACCTGTGTGGTTTTTCTTGAGAAGTTTTTTACCAGACAAACTGGGGCTCCTTTGTATGTTATTTGTTTCTTTATTGTTTCTGCTTTTAAGATCCTTCCTTTGTCTTTGACCTTTGAGAGTTTGATTATTATATGCCTTGGGTAGTCTTACTAGGGTTGAATCTGTTTGGTGTTCTGAGACCTTACTATTTGTGGATATTTATATTTATCTCAAGTTTCAGAAAGTTTTCTGTTATTATTTCTTTGGATAAGCTTTCTACCACTTGTCCTTGCTCACTTTCTGTTGAACACCAGTAATTCTTAGACTTGGTCTTTTGAGATAATTTTCTATTTCTGGTAGGTGATTTTCATTTCTTTCCATTTTTTTTTTATCCTATGACTGGGTATTTTCAATTAGCCTATTTTTGAACTCACTGATTCTTTCCTCTGCTTGATTCATTCTGTTATTGAGAGACTCTAATGAATTTGTTAGTTTGGCAAATATGTTTCTCAATTTTAAGATTTCTGTTTGATTTTAAAAATTATTTAAAATCTTTTTGTTAAATTTCTGTGATCAATTTCTGAATTGCTTTTCTATGTTTTTTTTTTTTTTTTTTTTTTTTTTTTTGAGATCACTAAGTTTCCTTAAAACTGCTATTTTGAATTCTTCAAGAACTCACATATTGCCATCTTGTTGGAGTCAGTCAGTGGTTTATTGCTATGTCTGTTTGGGTAGGTTGTGTTTCCCTTGGATGTACATCTATGTTTTTGCATTGAGGGATTAGTTTTTCCAGTCTTCGCTGTCTGGCTTCTTTTGGTTTTTATGGGGTATGTTCATTTAGAGATTCTTTGTAATTTTCTTGTTGACTTTCTTTCTTTTTCCAGGTAGGTCTCTGCTTCCTTTTTGGCCCTAAATGGCACCTTATGCTCAGGTTTGCCTTGACTCTAGTAAATAAATCAGAGTGTAGCCCATTCCAAACTGGGGAGGTCCCAAAAGGGATATCTCAGCAGTATGGGAACGCTTGCTAGCAGTTTGTGCCAAGGGGACCTGTAGAAAGAACCTTAGTATGGTGATGCTAAACAGCCACTCTGATTTGGTGTCTCCTTTGGCTTAGTTACAGAGCAGAGTTTCCAGGACTCAGGATGGTAGTCCTACCTCTCCCCTTTGTCTCTGGCTACCCTCAGGGATATATTTGTCTTCAGGCACTCCCAGTGCTTCCTGTGGCTTGAGGCAGGGACAGGTCTTCTGCCAGGGAGCCCAAGATGATAGGGAAGCTGCTTACTTTGATCTCACTTTTTCCAGTATAAAAACTGTGAGTTGGGGGAAATTTTCATGAGCTTTGTGCTGGGCAGAATTGGGGGAGGCATGTCTTGGATATGGAAGTCCGATTCTGTTACTGTCTGCTCAGAGGTTTTTCACTTGACTGTGGCCCCAGGACCTGTCTCATCCTCATATTTGAATTCTGGGCTATTGCTAGTGATAATCTCAGTGCTGTATATTTGTTTTTGTTTTCTTTGGTAGAGTGTGAAACTAGCTTGCGTCTTCAGGGCCATTTTGGAAGTAGAAACCCTCTCAAAAATTTTTATTAATTTGACATACGTTTATTGAGCACATACTATGTCTCAGTTCTTCAGGGTGCTGGAGATATTACAGCAAATAAAAGACAAAGTCCTACCTACATGTGGTGGTGAGGGGAGAGACAGATAATCATCTAAATGAATGAGCAAAATATATATTATATAGAGATACGTGTTTAGATAAATGTAAAGTAGGAAAGGCGAGTAGAGAGTATGAGAGGGGATGAAATTTGAAATAAGTCATCAAGAAAACCTTCACTGAGGAAGTTACAATTGGGTAAACACCTGAAGGAGTTAAGGAAGCGGATTTTGTGGATATCCTGGAGGAGGAACATTTCAGGTAGAGGTAACAGCAAGTGTAAATCTCCTGAGGCAGGGATGTGCATGGTGTGTTTAAGTAAGTCAGTGTAGTTCCAACAGAAGTGAGGGGGTGAGTATTAGATGTTATGGTTGGAGAAGTAAGAGGAGCCATTAGAGAGTTTGTTTTTTCTTTCCATCTTTTCTATCTTTCTCAGTATGTTGCCCAGTCTAGACTCGAACTCCTGGGCTCAAGCAAACCTTCTGCTTCAGCTTCCTGAATACCTAGGACTATAGGCATGTGCCACCATGCCCAGCCTTATTGGAGGGTTTTGATCACAGGAGTGACATGATCTGACCTGTTATTTAAAGGGATCATTTTGGGCTGGGCGCGTTGGCCCATGCTTGTAATCCCAGCAGTTTGGGAGGCCAAGGCGGGTGCATTGCTTGAGGCCAGGAGTTCGAGACCAGCTTGGCCAACATGGTGAAACCCCGTTTCTACTAAAAATACAAAAAATTGCTGGGTGTGGTGGCACATACCTGTAATTCCAGGTACTTGGGAGGCTGAGGCACCAGAATCGCTTGAACCCGGGAGGTGGAGGTTTCAGTGAGCCAAGATTGCGCCACTGTACTCTAGCCTGTGCAACAGAGGAAGACCCTGTCTCAAAACAAAAATAAAAGGATCATTTGGCTGTTGTGTTTATAGTAGACTGCAGTTGAGGGTGTGGTAGTGGCATGGGTAAGAAACAGGAGAGCAGTTGGGAACCTGATGCAATAATTCAGGCTACTATTTGGGTTGGCCAGTATAGAGGCAGCAAAGGTACTGAGAAGTAATCAGGTTCTGTGTATATTTTGAAGGAGCCAGTTTTGTTGATGGATTAGATGTAGGGAGTAATGGAAAGGGGAGTCAAGGATGGCTCCAAGGCTTATGGGCCTGAACAATGTTGAGAGAACTTCCATTAACCAAGATGGGGAGACAATATAAGGAAAATGTGTGTGAGGAGGCTAAGGAGCTCAACTTTTGACATATGTTAGAAATGCCTATAAGACTTTTAAGTGTAAATGATGAGTAAGCAGTTAGAGGAATCTGCAGTTTCAGGGGGGCAGGGGTTAGTATGAGGGGCAGCTGAGGGAGGATAGATTGATATGTGCCAGCAATATATCTTCTGGACTTCTTATCTGGGACTTCTTGTTTCACCTGAATTATACTGGCCACTTGGGCATTACCCTGCCTCTCCATAATCAAGATATGTGAATTGGGCTTATTTCCCAAGCGGTCATTTCTTAAGTGTAAAGACTGTCTTGGTCTTTGTAATCATTGCCTCGAAGCTTGTAACAACTCCAGATGCATTCCTTTTTTTTTTTCCCATAAAATTTTAGGTTATGGCTGTCCCTGAGTCTCATCCAATATACTTCTTTCAGGGATTCCTTAAAATTTCTTGTCTGTTCATAGCATTCCTGTTTGTTTCTTTAGTTTTTTATAGCTTTAAAAAATACCTTTTCTGTTATTTTCTGAAAGGCTGTAAATGATGAAGTCAGTGTATATACCTAGTCTGCATTTCAATCCATTCTTCTTGTTTATAATAAAAAGAATAAATTATTATAGAAAAGTGACAAATGCATAGTGATAAAATATTATAATATTCTTATTTGCAGTGATTGGTTTCTTCCATTTTTTCCCAAAATATTAAATTTTACTTAGTTATTTTACTTACATAATAAGCATTTTATCATGTAATTATAAACTGTATAATTGGGATTTCACTTTCTAACATAACTTTCTGGGCCTGCTCTTTGGTGACCCTCATCTGATCTCTCTAGACTCATGGTAAGTGTAACTATTGAACCATTTACTCACTGCTTTGAAGTGACTAGAAGGCTGACTGTAAAGAAATGCAGGCTGGGAAAAAGGTCTCATCTCTGCTCCTGTCATTTGGGGCAGGGATAATTATCTCCCTATGAGGAGTAGAGCTAATGTGTTATTTCTTTTTTCAAGTTATTTTAGTTTCAATTTAAAAAATAAATTCTGCCAGGCATGGTGACTCCTGCTTGTACTCCCAGCTACTTGTGAGGATGAGGTGGGGGGAATCCCTTGAGCCCAGGAGTTGGAGGCTATAGTGAGCTATGATTGTGCCACTGCACTCCAGCCTGGGTTACAGAGCAAGATCTTGTCTCTAAATACATACATACATACATACATACATACATACATACATACGTATTTTAAAAATATTAAATTTTTTTTTTCTTTCCTCTAGTTCACTTAGCAGCCATGGAAGGCCACCTTCACTGTTTCAAATTCCTATTCAGTAGAATGAGCAGTGCGACACAAGTTTTAAAAGCTTTCAATGATAACGGAGAAAATGTATTGGATTTGGCCCAGAGGTTCTTCAAGCAGAACATTTTACAGTTTATCCAGGGGGCTGAGTATGAAGGAAAAGATTTAGAAGATCAGGAAAGTAAGTAAGTGATATGTTCTAGCATATAATGTAATGATGATGATGATGATATAATGATATACTTTCATTGATGTAGAATCAATGAAATAGGAAAAGAAGATATAAGGCAAATGTTATATATGTTATATGTAAAAATATAAACATGTTTAATATATAACATATTAAAATTTATTACATATCATTGCCGATACATTCATCCAGATTCTTTATTATAAAATACTTTAGACAAAAATGTGTAGAGGTTTGTTGCAGTGGCGCATGCTTGTAATCCCAGAACTTTGGGAGTCTGAGGTGAGTGGATTGCTTAAGCCCAGAAGTTCAAGACCAATTTGGGAAATATAGTAAAACCCTATCTCTACAAAAAATACAAAAATTAGCTGGATGTGGAGGCATCCCTGTAATCAGCTACTTGGGAGGCTGAGGTGGGAGGATGGATTGAGCCCAGGAAGTCAAGGCTACACTGAGCCTTGATTATACCTCTGCACTCCAGCCTGCATGACAAAATGAGACCCTGTCTCAAAAAAAAAAAAAAAAAAAAAAAAAAAATGAGCAGTGAATCACTAAATTTAAGAGTAAAATATAGAGGCCAGGTATGGTGGCTAACACCTGTAATCCCAGCTACTTGAGAAGTTCAGGCAGGAGAATCATTTGAACCCGGGAGGTGGAGGTTGCAGTGAGCCAAGATCACGCAATTGCACTCCATCCTGGGCAACATGAGCAAAACTCTATCTTGGAAGAAAAGAAAAGAATAAAATATAGAGTTGAAGCCCTTTGGATCTCTCTCCCTAATTACCATCACCTTTTCTTCCTCCTCAAGGGTAAACTATTATTTTAGATTTTTCATTCCATTCTGTGGTTTTATATTTTAGTTGTGTATATGAGTTGGGGTCTCACTATGTTTCCCAGGCTGGTCTCAAACTCCTGGCCTCAAGTGATCCTCCTTCCCCAGCCTCCCAGCAAAGCACTGGGATTACAGGCATGGGCCACTGCATCCACCCTGTGTTGTTCTTTATGTGCATTATTTTTTATTGTTGTATTGTTATTTTTATTGGTTTCTCCTTCAAGTATTTTCCATCTGTTCAATCTGCAGATATAGAACTTGCAGATATGGAGGGCCAGCTGTGCATCTATACACATACATGTGTACACACAGACACACACACACACACACACAACTGAAAGCACCTAACCTTATCCCTAGCATATAGTTGATGCTTAATAAAATGTCTTTAATGATAGTAACTACATAAACTGAGTCCTTACTAAAAATGCCAGACATGGTAGTAAGCACTTGCAAGGATTGCATTGTTTTGTCTTTTTTAAAAATAAGATCTTCTTGATACTTGGATACCAAAGAATTGCATAATTTTACCCTCTCAACAAATCTGAAATGTGACTTTTCTCATTTTTACATATGGAAATAAACAATCTAGAATAGCCAAAGAATATTTTTAAAATAACAAAGTTGGAAGGACTTAACACTACTTGATTTTAAGACTTACTATATTGCTACAGTAATCAAGGCAGTGTGTAGTAATGGCAAACAGACATACAGATAAGTAAGACAGAATACAACAAAGACCAGTAAGAGTACGGCATGATGGTGCATCCCTGTAATCCTAGCTACCTGGGAGGCTGAGGCGGGAGGATTGCTTGAGCCTAGGAGTTCAGGGTTACAGTGAGCTGTGACCACACCTCAGTGACAAAGTGAGACCCTATCTCTAAACAAAACAAAGCAGTGTGACAACTATTTACATAGCATTTCTATTGTATTAGGTATTGTGAGTAACGTAGAGATTATTTAAAGTATATGGGAGGGAGGATGTGCATAGGTTATCTGCAAATATACCATTTTATATAAGGGACTTGGACATCCACAGATTTTGGTATCTTTGGGAATCCTAGAACCCTTAGGATTCCAAGGGATGACTCTATATGTATGTGCACATACACACTTCTTATCTGCTTCTAGTCTATTTTGCTGTCTTCACTGTCTTGCAAGTAGAGAAGGAGCGGTCTGTGTAACCAGGTTCAAGCGATTCTCCTGCCTCAGCCTCCTGAGTAGCTGTAATTACAGGCATGAGCCACCACACCCAGCTAATTTTTGTATTTTTAGTAGAGACAGGGTTTCACCATGTTGGCCAGGCTGGTCTTGAACTCCTGACCTCAAATGATTCACTCACCTCAGCCTCCGAAAGTGCTGGGATTACAGGCGTGAGCCACCATGCCCAGCTTCCAAGTGTGTCTTTATACAAAGGGTTTTAAATGACCATCCCCTGTGTTTTGTGGTGGTATGAGAGAGAAAGAGAATGTGGCTAAAAATTGTCCTGGTACAATACTTCTGGCATGTTTGAAGTCCTGAGGGGAAAAAGAGTAGAATGATTAGTAATAATCTTATTTGATAATTCTCTTTTTACTGCTAGTCATCAACTGAACTCATTCCATTACAACAGCCTTTTATTTGAGAAAATATTGAAACCTGAAATATATGACAGCTTAAGACAGGGAAAAGAATAAACTCTGATATTTATTGAAATGCTGAATTTTTTTATTCATAGCTTTAGCATTTCCAGGTCATGTGGCTGCCTTTAAGGGTGATTTGGGGATGCTTAAGAAGTTAGTAGAAGATGGAGTAATCAATATTAATGAGCGTGCTGATAATGGATCAACTCCTATGCATAAAGGTGAGTTATGATTTCTCCTTTCAGTTTGGATACAATAGCTGCTGAGTTATTAATCTTTTAAAGTAAATATCAATCAGAAACACATGAAACATAAAACTTTTTTCTGATGCCCTAGCAGATATCAGTCTACCTTGTGTGGTATATAGAATGCCTAATTCTCTATTCAAGTGTAATGTTTCTTTTATGATGCCAGATATTCATGCATTATCTTATTCAAGGGTAATTCCAATAAAATTTCTATAGCGACATTGTTATGTTAGTTAAATGTGAAATGTACTGCTAGAGAAGTTTCTTAGGATAACATTTTTTAAATGACCTTTTAATTAATACTAAAATAGAAATCATCCCTCTCTCTCTCTCTCTTTTTTTTTTTTTTCCGCAGACTGGGTCTTGTTCTGTCACCCAGGCTTGGAGTGCAGGTGGAGACCTCCTGGGCTCAAGTCATCCTCCCACCTCAGTCTCCTGAGTAGCTGGGATTATAGGCATGTGCCACCACACCAGGCTAATTTTTTGTCTTTTTAATAGTGATGGGGTTTCACCATGTTGGCCAGGCTGGTCTTGAACTCCTGGCCTCAAATGATCCACTTGCCTTGGCCTCCCAAAGTGCAGGATTACAGGCGTGAGCCTGGCCTGATGGCAGGTGATTCTTACTAAACTCTTAGAGTAAAATGATAGTAGGCTTATTAATATAATCATGTGTTTAAATTGGACTCTATTTCACAAATTAACTTCTGGCAGTCCTCAGATCATATATTATGTTCCCATTGGTTAGGTTTTTAGCTTACATTGTTTAATCCATAATGTATCTCAAAGTATAGAATCTAAGCACTATGTGTAACAATAGTTTTATAAGCAGGGGAAATGGGAAGAGATGGGATGCAGAGGATGTTTTCTCCTACACAGAAAGAGTCCACAGATTGGTGAGCTCTGTGCCCTATGTTTGGAATATCTCACTCCATCCATTTCTGCTGGTCATCCAGGAGTTAAACTCTCTACTGTGAGATATGTGTATGGGGAGGAGGCTTAACATGTACATAAAGTTTTTTTTTTTTTTTTAATTATTATTATACTTTAAGTTCTAGAGTACATGTGCATAACATGCAGGTTTGTTACATATGTATACTTGTACCATGTTGGTGTGCTGCAACCATCAACTCGTCAGCACCCATCAACTCGTCAGCACCCATCAACTCGTCATTTACATCAGGTATAACTCCAAATGCAATCCCTCCCTCCTGCCCCTGCCCCCTCCCCATGATAGGCCCCGATGTGTGATGTTCCCCTTCCCGAGTCCAAGTGATCTCATTGTTCAGTTCCCACCTATGAGTGAGAACATGCGGTGTTTGGTTTTCTGTTCTTGCAATAGTTTGCTGAGAATGATGGTTTCCAGCTGCATCCCATGTCCCTACAAAGGACACAAACTCATCCTTTTTTATGGCTGCATAGTATTCCATGGTGTATATGTGCTACATTTTCTTAATCCAGTCTGTCACTGATGGACATTTGGGTTGATTCCAGGTCTTTGCAAACATGTATGTTTGCTGCAATAAACATATGTGTGCATGTGTCTTTATGGCAGCATGATTTATAATCCTTTGGGTATATACCCAGTAATGGGATGGCTGGGTCATATGGTACTTCTAGTTCTAGATCCTTGAGGAATCGCCATACTGTTTTCCATAATGGTTGAACTAGTTTACAGTCCCACCAACAGTGTAAAAGTGTTCCTATTTCTCCACATCCTCTCCAGCACCTGTTGTTTCCTGACTTTTTAATGATTGCCTTTCTAACTGGCGTGAGATGGTATCTCATTGAGGTTTTGATTTGCATTTCTCTGATGGCCAGGGATGATGAGCATTTTTTCATGTGTCTGTTGGCTGTATGAATGTCTTCTTTTGAGAAATGTCTGTTCATATCCTTTGCCCACTTTTTGATGGGGTTGTTTGTTTTTTTCTTGTAAATTTGTTTGAGTTCTTTGTAGGTTCTGGATACCCTTTGTCAGATGAGTAGATTGCAAAAATTTTCTCCCATTCTGTAGGTTGCCTGTTCACTCTGATGGTAGTTTCTTTTGCTGTGCAGAAGCTCTTTAGTTTAATTAGATCCCATTTGTCAATTTTGGCTTTTGTTGCCGTTGCTTTTGGTGTTTTAGACATGAAGTCCTTGCCCATGCCTATGTCCTGAATGGTATTACCTAGGTTTTCTTCTAGGGTTTTTATGGTATTAGGTCTAACATTTAAGTCTCTAATCCATCTTGAATTAATTTTTGTATAAGGAGTAAGGAAAGGATCCAGTTTCAGCTTTCTACTTATGGCTAGCCAATTTTCTCAGCATCATTTATTAAATAGGGAATCCTTTCCCCATTTCTTGTTTTTCTCAGGTTTGTCAAAGATCAGATGGCTGTAGATGTGTGGTATTATTTCTGAGGACTCTGTTCTGTTCCATTGGTCTATATCTCTGTTTTGGTACCAGTACCATGCTGTTTTGGTTACTGTAGCCTTGTAGTATAGTTTGAGGTCAGGTAGTGTGATGCCTCCAGCTTTGTTCTTTTGACTTAAGATTGTCTTGGCAATGCGGGCTCTTTTTTGGTTCCATATGAACTTTAAAGCAGTTTTTTCCAATTCTGTGAAGAAACTCATTGGTAGCTTGATGGGGATGGCATTGAATCTATAAATTACTTTGGGCAGTATGGCCATTTTCATGATATTGATTCTTCCTATCCATGAGCATGGTGTGTTCTTCCATTTGTTTGTGTCCTCTTTTATTTCACTGAACAGTGATTTGTAGTTCTCCTTGAAGAGGTCCTTTATATCCCTTGTAAGCTGGATTCCTAGGTATTTTATTCTCTTTGAGGCAATTGTGAATGGAAGTTCATTCATGATTTGGCTCTCTGTTTGTCTGTTACTGGTGTATAAGAATGCTTGTGATTTTTGCACATTGATTTTGTATCCTGAGACTTTGCTGAGGTTGCTTATCAGCTTAAGGAGATTTTGGGCTGATGATGGGGTTTTCTTAATATACAATCATGTCATCTGCAAACAGGGACAATTTGACTTCTTCTTTTCCTAACTGAATAGCCTTGATTTCTTTCTCTTGCCTGATTGCCCTAGCCAGAACTTCCAGCACTATGTTGAATAGGAGTGGTGAGAGAGGGCATCCCTGTCTTGTGCCAGTTTTCAAAGGGAATTTTTCCAGTTTTTGCCCATTCAGTATGATATTGGCTGTGGGTTTGTCATAAATAGCTCTTATTATTTTGAGATACATTCCATCAATACCGAATTTATTGAGGGTTTTTAGCATGAAGGGCTGTTGAATTTTGTCAAAGGCCTTTTCTGCATCTATTGAGATAGTCATGTGGTTTTTGTCTTTGTTTCTGCTAATATGCTGGATTACGTTTATTGATTTGTGTATGTTGAACCAGCCTTGCATCCCAGGGATGAAGCCCACTTGATCATGGTGGATAAGCTTTTTGATGTGCTGCTGGATCAGGTTTGCCAGTATTTTATTGAAGATTTTTGCATTGATGTTCATCAGGGATATTGGTCTAAAATTCTCTTTTTTTGTTGTGTCTCTGCCAGGTTTTGGTATCAGGATGATGTTGGCCTCATAAAATGAGTTAGGGAGGATTCCCTCGTTTTCTATTGATTGGAATAGTTTCAGAAGGAATGGTACTAGCTCCTCCTTGTACCTCTGGTAGAATTCAGCTGTGAATCCGTCTGGTCCTGGACTTTTTTTGGTTGGTAGGCTATTAATCACTGCCTCAGTTTCAGAGCCTGATATTGGTCTATTCAGGGATTCAGCTTCTTCCTGGTTTAGTCTTGGGAGAGTGTAAGTGTCCAGGAAATTATCCATTTCTTCTAGATTTTCTAGTTTATTAGCATAGAGGTGTTTATAGTATTCTCTGATGGTAGTTTGTATATCTGTGGGGTCAGTGGTGATATCCCCTTTATCATTTTTTATTGCGTCTATTTGATTCTTCTCTCTTTTCTTCTTTATTAGTCTTGCTAGTGGTCTATCAATTTTGTTGATCTTTTCAAAAAACCAGCTCCTGGATTCATTGATTTTTTTGGAGGGTTTTTTGTGTCTCTGTCTCCTTCAGTTCTGCTCTGATCTTAGTTATTTCTTGCCTTCTGCTAGCTTTTGAATGTTTTTGCTCTTGCTTCTCTAGTTCTTTTAATTGTGATGTTAGAGTGTCAATTTTAGATCTTTCCAGCTTTCTCTTGTGGACATTTAGTGCTATAAATTTCCCTCTACACACTGCTTTAAATGTGTCCCAGAGATTCTGGTATGTTGTATCTTTGTTCTCATTGGTTTCAAAGAACATCTTTATTTCTGCCTTCATTTCGTTATTTACCCAGTAGTCATTCAGGAGCACGTTATTCAGTTTCCATGTAGTTGAGCGGTTTTGATTGAGTTTCTTAGTCCTGAGTTCTAGTTTGATTGCACTGTGGTCTGAGAGACAGTTTGTTATAATTTCTGTTCTTGTACATTTGCTGAGGAGTGCTTTACTTCCAATTATTTGGTCAATTTTGGAATAAGTGTGATGTGGTGCTGAGAAGAATGTATATTCTGTTGATTTGGGGTGGAGAGTTCTGTAGATGTCTATTAGGTCTGCTTGGTGCAGAGATGAGTTCAATTCCTGGATATCCTTGTTAACTTTCTGTCTTGTTGATCTGTCTAATGTTGACAGTGGGGTGTTGAAGTCTCCCATTATTATTGTATGGGAGTCTAAGTCTCTTGTAAGTCTCTAAGGACTTGCTTTATGAATCTGGGTGCTCCTGTATTGGGTGCATATATATTTAGGATAGTTAGCTCTTCCCTTTGAATTGATTCCCTTTACCAGTATGTAATGGCCTTCTTTGTCTCTTTTGATCTTTGATGGTTTAAAGTCTGTTTTATCAGAGACTAGGATTGCAACCCCTGCTTTTTTTTTGTTCTCCATTTGCTTGGTAGATCTTCCTCCATCCCTTTATTTTGAGCCTATGTGTGTCTCTGCATATGAG